TGATTGACGAATCAACCATAAGTCACGCTAGCGACACCCCAAGAGGCCACCTAACTCGAATAGGCCGTATTAGGGACACTTCCCATTGAAGTTTTGCCACAAGCCTTGATCCGATTATAGGTTTTCGATTAAGGATTGTTCCGAGACTTTCCGGTCCGAGTTAGTCGGGGTAAAACTCGGGAATAGTTTTGGGCCTCGAAATTTTGGACAAAGGAACTAGTGGGCCGAGAATGGAAGCCCACAAGAGAGTGGGCCGAGAAAAAAGCCCAATGGGCCTCACGCCCAAGACCAAATCCCAAGGAAAGCCCATTAAGCTTTTCAAGCCCATTTCTCTTCCAATTGGGCCCATTCAAGCCCGAGCCCAAGTTTGCTGGCCCGAGCTCGAGCCCACGTGAATAGTAACCGTGAATAGTCTCAATGGTGAAATTACCAAAATGCCCTTCTTGCATTTATCACAAAGAAACAAAAGAAATTGATGAAGAAGACTTTGGGGGCTTTGCCATCATGAAATTAGACTTTGGTGGCTTCTCTTTATTGAGAATAATATCTCTCTTAGCCCTCTTCTTCCCCCCATCCGTCCACTTCTCTCTCTCTCTCCTCCCCCCCCCCACCTCATTCACGTCCAACTCTCCCTCCTCTTTCTTTGGTTCGGCTGAAGCAGCAAGAACAGCCCCTTGGCTGCTATTTTTGCTGCCGTGGAGCCAACCGTCAAGCGCTGTGACAAGCCGTGACCGCCCCGGAGCCGAACGCCGCTCATCCAAGCCATTTCCACCGTTAACCGAGCCTCGCCGAGGCAAAACAGCCGCCCCAAAGCTGCTGTTCAGCCGAGACCCAGCCACCGTCATCGTTCCGTATCGTTTTCGGACCGTGCAACGCGTAGGCCTCGCCGCCGCCGTCACGCTCGTGTCGTCAGATTCGCTAACGGGTGAGTTATCGCCCTAATCCCTTGCTTAGTAGGTTAAACTTCATTAGAGCGGATTAGTTTAAGTTAATTGTGCTTAGTACTAATTGAATAGGGATTAGTGATAATCTATTGGATTAATTATATTATTATTTTATTAATTTTCGGAAATTAAATAATAATATTTTATTAATTTTCGGAATTAAAAATATTATTATTTTATTAATATTTTTGTGGAAATTCCGAAATTAAATTGGGTTTATTTTAGGCTTAAATTGTGATGCCTAAGCTAGAATTTGCCTTATATATTGATTTGTATGCCAAATTGAATTGTTTGGTTAATTTTAAGTATAGCATGTCGGGTATTTAATTAATAAACCCTGAGGTGTCGGGTTTATTTGTTAAGTTTTATGTGAGAATTATGTTGTGGATACTTGAATATAGAAGCATGCCAAGTTTGGGAATTTATTGATATGTGCATAATCACGTGTGAATATTTTAGTACATTTTTATGTGGAGAAGTTGGATATCTCAACGTATTAGCACGGATTATGTTTGCATCGGCTATTGAAAATTATAATGATGGAACCTGAGTGTTGCTATGTGTGCATGATCACCTAAAGGTTCCTTTCGTGCCCGGTTATATCGGAAAACCGTATACCGGATGACCGCCAACCTAGGGTTTGGCCGTGGCCCTAACGGGTGTCCCCAATTTGGTAATTGGAAGCCGTCGCTGGTAGCAGGGGAGACGTAGTCATTCGCGAATCGGATTCGAAATGAACCCATTTATGGGATATGCCGTCATTGTGGTCGGGTGAGACGATGCCGTGCCCGATGGGGCGGGACGATGCCCGGATATACCGGAAGACTGCCAACCTGAGGCGAATATCGCGGGTTGTGCCGTAGCCCCTGGTGTGGCTGTAGTAATTGGAATACGCGTGAAAGATTGTGGTGGCATTGCGCTTGATTATGGGATGAAATTGCTAGGCACGGTATGGGACGGGCCGAAGCAGTTTCACCTTATAATCGGGACACGTGTGGATGCATTGTGCATGGGAAAATTGTTGCGTATTCTGATTATATTATATGCTTGTTGCATTATGATTGTATATGATGGTTTATAACGTGCATGGCGTGTGTGCCAAGGTAAGGTAAGAATGTCTGCAATTGTTTAGTGGCACGTATGTTTATGTTGGGCTGGGTAGCCTGCTCGTGTGAATAGTTAGGGCAAAGCATGGGTTTCTTTGCTATTGATCTGTCATCGATAGATTGCTGCATGTTTTAGGCGCATCCGAGATAAGTTGACCTCCTAGTCAAGGCTTAGGTCGTTAACTTACTGAGATTTTATCTCATTCGTTGTTGTTAACCATCTTTTCAGGTGTTCAGGTATGAGTACGCGTTGCGTTCCTTGTGATACGGTTATGTCGAGGGGGAAATACCTATTGAGGTTGTCCTCGTAGATAGAGGAGCTAGGTTAACCCCCTATCCGTTGTTGTTGTAATCGGGAAGGTCGGCATGGCGGATTGGTAATATATTAATCCCCGATGTACTACTGATGATGTGTATATATATGTTGTATGTTTTCTTGTCTATCCCCGTTGTTGTCTGGAGATATACGCTTCCGTATGTGCATGATCTAAAGTGAAAATGGATGGGTCGACGTTGCGTCCTGGGATGTCGTAATTTCACGATCAAGGAAGGATGTTCGCGCGCTCGAGGGTTCGGGGCGTGACATATATTCAGTTCGTCTCCCTTGCACTAGAAATCTACGAGCATACCTGTCAATTTATCATAAGAACATCATGGTTGCATGCAATGCTATATTTCTTCAAAGAGGTATGCATGCACGAACATATAACTTATGTAGCACCAACACTGACACGCGACATGTGACACAACACGAGACACGTCATTTCTTAAAAAATAGAGAATTTCGACATGTTAAGACACATTGTATATTAAATATATATTTTTATATAAACACGATAAATTATTATTTTTAAATTTGATTTAAATCCACTAATAAATAAATAATAATAAAAAGCCTAGAATTTACTTCTGCGTACTAGAAAATTGCATGGACATGAAGAAAACATAAGATTTGTTTTATGAATAATTCAACTATTCATAAAATAAAATAAAAAGTAAAAGTAAGGTTCTTATTTACTTTGATTTGGATGATTTGTATCTAATTAGATTCAAGATATGCACTCAACTTGGTAGGATACTCTTTGACCTAACCATAATATGAGAAAATTTTCTGGTGCCCATGATATTTCAGAACCTGTTATTTTTTTCATATATTAAAATTGAACTCTCGTGTTGGGGGGAGGGGGGGCTAAATCTCTGACTGGACACGCGGCCCATCACGGCCCATCTTAAACCCTAAATGTCCCCTCCCTAAACCACACCTCCCGATCTCTCGCTCCCGCTCCTGCTCCTGGTCCTGCTCTCGCAGCTCCCGCTCCTCTCGCTCTCACCATGGATATCGGTCAGATGGGAGGATATTTTGGCGGCGAGTTTTACAGTGTCATGGATCATAATCGTCAAGTGATCGGAAGGTATTTCGATGCGAATTCCGACGTCGATTTCGACGGGATGCGAGCCGTCGGCGTTGATGCTATAGTTAATTTGTACGGGACGCAGCCCGCCGGGGTTCATCTGGTCTATTCGATGAGTATGATAGGAGTCGATGTTGGACTTTTTGTCTTCTCCTTCAGTGGAGACTATATTGTTTTGCCGCAGAAAGAGACCAGGAGGTTCCATGAGGTATGTTTTTTTTTTCGCCCTCTCTCTTTTGTTGGCTGCTTGAGTTCAGTCCCTTAGATGTGTTTTATTGAAATGGTAGATGTTTTTACTGAATTTCACACAACGTCATGCACGGATTCGCATCTTAAATTTCCGTTCGTTCGTCCCCTCACTACCGGCGGCGGCACCGGCGGCACCGGCGGCGGCACCGGCGGCGGCACCGGCGGCGGCGATGGAGGCAGCGGCAGCAGCAGTGATGGAGGCGGAGGCGGAAGAGGAGGAGGCACTGGCCGTGTTGGATCCACTGGCGCCATGACTATTTCTGCTAAGCATTGGCATAGGTGAGGCTCGATGTTTTACTTAGATCTATGATCATTGTTAGGTCTGTTTTACTTAAATCATTATTAGGTCGTTCTTCAAATTGTAGGCCAGGACAACTTTTCACGGCCTTACATTTATCCTTTCTCTTCGGATTCACTTGGATTGCGCTCTGCTTTGCTGTTTTTAAATCCTGGATAGCTGGATTTGATTCGCTTGAATGTCCAGGATTTGATTCGCTTGAATGCCGGCCAGCCTTGCGACCTCGACTTGGGGATCTCGTATGATTAATGTAGATATGACTCGATGAAATAATTGCAAGCTTTGAAATTTTTTTTTCGTATTTATTAACCGGGCCATCCAAAACTCAAACATTACTCGGAGAATTTGAGGTTTTTTTCTTCTTTGTTTTGTTTTGGTCGAAGGAGAATTTGAGTTTGACTTCTGGCATCTTAAGCTCAAGTGGCAAGCATAACACAAACCATCATACACAACAATGAATATCTTAAGAATATCTTATTCTTGAAATCAGCTTGATCTCTCTTTTTCACATGAGGATCGATGGTGGACATGGCGGCTCGCGCAAAAGCGCATTGGACAACTCAATAATGAGCTTTTAGATAACAAGGTTAATATGGGCTGCCCACCTTACTTTAAACTTTAAAGTGCTACTCCACCTTTTCTGGATTAGGTTAAGTTGTCTTTCAAGGGTAGCAGAAGTTTATTTTCATGTCCACCATGGTGGATAAACTTAATATATTTATACTTAAAGAACTAAATGAAGCCATGAGGTCAATCTTGTGTATGCCCTGTTTTACAGCTTAAGAAAAAACCAAATTGTATGCCAATTCCCTTCCTTTTCCCTTCAATCTGTCGCACAAGTGACCACCATGGGAATTTGCAGAGTTCTTCCAAATTTTGCAATCTTCATGAGATTAGTGCATAGAATAGCCATAAAGTAGGAATTATCTCAGCTGAACAGTTGAGCGCCTGAATAGAAATGCATACTTTCGTTGGCAAAAAGTTTGAAATCTGAAGCGAAAATCGGATTCCCATTCCATGAAGGCATGTTACAGTTTAGACACTCTTGTTTGAAAAAGGAGAACTTCTAAGCTGGCCAAGATTCCTCAATATTTTACACATCAATCATTGGGTAGCCTATGTGATAAGTTACAACAGAGAAGGAAAAAAGAATTATGCGTGGAGATGGTGCCGCCTGTCAACATTACAAACATATGCTTCTGCTACCGGCTCAAATCTCGCGCTTCAAAGCCTCTAATGAACGATATGATAGCAAGGTGCTCCGAAGAATAGGTCATGAAAGATGCCAATATAAGGCCTCCACCAGCCATCAAACCCAACCCGTTGAAGGACGCAAAGCATGCACGAATTTGTTGTTCTTGCAATCCTCACTCAAGCGTCATAGCGAGGAAATAGCAAAGAACATAAAAGAAACATCATAAACAATCAAATTTCTGATCCCAAATGATATAGGAAGCAACAGATCATCATGAAACTTGGTGTAATTTAAATTAGTAAAGAGAATTGGGGCATTTTGAGAATCAAACCAAAAGAATTACCTCGCGAAAAGAGCAGTAATCCCGAAAATGCATGGTAAGGCTGGGGCCACCATTGCCAAAAATGCCATGCCCGACCAGTAACAGCAGGTAGTAATATTACAAGAAGATGTTTGTCGTTGACGACCTGCACAGTATAAACGACTCCTCGTTAATATAAAAAAACACAAAATATGCACATCAAATGCCAATGCTCCAAGTCAACCAACCTTTCTCAGATTCATGGTCAGCATGTGCAACCTTTTGAACTGCTGCTGCCCTTCCAAGTTTATATACCAAATGGAGATAACCTCTGAACAATACAAAGAAGATTGCAAATGTCCACTCATACATCAATAGCAAACCAGTCCACGGCATTACTTGCCGAGGCACAACTGCAAGAGCCAGCAAGAGAGACACAGCAGCTGCAGCGAAACATACTATTATGGATATCCCACCCAAATACACAGGGATCATTGACGGTGCACCATGTGAGAATTGTTAGAGAGCAAATCAACGAACTTATAGTTAGAAAGATCACCACTGATGCTTTAACAGAAGCATGAGCAAATTACTGTGAAATCTAACGTTTTAAGGTGTTGTCAATGAAATATTAGTAAAATAAACATGGAAAAGGAAGTAACCTGCTGGTTAAAAGTAATGCCAGATGCCGTAGAAACACCAGAATATGCGTATGCTCCATTAAATCTGATTCTATGTAAAAGCTGTCTAATGTTATCACCCAACGAACTTCTGCAAGAACGACATTGCAGCAATACCTACACCAAATCAAACATCAAATAATCAAAATGACTATTCCTAACGAAACAGCATGTCAAAGAAGAATAACCACAGGATTTCCATGGACTTACAACCTGGGGAAGAGATCGGTAGTACCCAAAGAGCAGAAGGCAAAGAGGTAGCAGAAAAAGGAACTTCACTAGAAACTCATCATTAGGATTTCTTCCCCCTCCAGTTCCAGGAAGGGAATCAGCAAGTTGTTCCCTCACATTCTGTCCTATGCAAAGTTAAACGAGTTTCTATCACCAAACATACAGATCACTGCATAAAACAATAACAGAATTCATGGAATTGCACAACCGTGCATGGTGTCTGTCTCCCTTTCATCTAAACAGCGCAAAAACCACCAGAGAAGAAGTTGGATATGATACCTGCCACACATCTACAGGTTTCAGAAGCCAGGATGTCCACCAGTCCCAAGGTTTAAGGGGTCTAAGTGTATAGTGAATAACCTGGAGTTCACTTTCATCGACCATCCACTGTTCAGCAACATCAAGGACGTCAGTATCAATACACATTCAGCAATAGAACTGCATATGTGCCTAGGTTGTGTAAGTGCTATATTGTGCATCCACAAAATGTAACAAGATCGTATATCAAAGTTTCTTTTTTCTTTAGAGCATTCATTTTTCGGGTATCATAAGAGTGAAGCCATCAAAGGTTTTATTAGGCGCTACTACAAGAATAAAATAAACCTCAGACAAGACCTACAGAAAACAAAAAATATTGCAATGTTTTTCAGACAGTAAGGGCTCATTAAAATGTCAAGAAAGACGCACCTACCCCCAAAACACCAACTCTAAAAGGGAAATAAAAAAGGATGGAAAGAAATCCAAGAAGAAGCAAATACACCACTACTTTCTTATCTACACTTACCATGCCGATAAAATAATGTCTCAATGAGCCAGCTTAGTGACTTGTTTTCACATATAGGTAGCCATACCTTGTTTGCAAGCATGTAAAGACCAACATCTGCATTGTATAGGGTAGAAAGTCGCCCCATTTCAGGCACTGGTCGAGATTTCAACACCTCTGGGGATAAATTTGGCTCGACAAGATGAGCATTGGCAAAGTCGCTATAGTACAAATTTACAAAACCCTGATCACCAGTGGAATGAAAAATGTCAGAGACAGGGAGAAGAGGAACAGAGTGTATATAATAAGAAGATGTACATAACTTTCTTTAGTGTTAGGTTATACAAGGATAGAGAAATTGAGACTGTTTAAACACAACCACAACAAATCTAATAGTTCGAAGTAAGAAGACTGGTGATCCAATTGAGACTGAGTAATTTTGTGCCACTTGTGAACACTAGAAGCCAAAATCTTTCTTGCCTGCAAGAAAATCTGTGGTTTGCATCTTGACCCTATTAGACTCCATCACATGCATGTCCTTACTCAAGAAAATTAAATTGGGACAAAAACTCCATGTCCTTCTCGTCTCAACAAAGTCTACTTCATCCAGTAATTCATAAGTAAGGATAACTGTTTAGATGCGTTGGTACAAACTCATCCTTGGTCCATAATCAAGTCAAAATCCAATCATCATAAATCATCGGAGCTAACATACTCGAACTAACTAAACAAAATAAATTGACATTACATCACCAGCCACTAACATTCAGAAAAGACAATTACCTCCAGTGTAACAACACAGGGCTTGCACTTTGCCCATCATGTCACTAAAAACAGTCTCAGAAGGTTCCACTACCATGACTCCAGAATTAAGCCTCTCTGAATGCTTCTAGTTAGCACAGAAATTCACGCATTTAAACAGATCCTCAATACTTTTAACCACAATAGTATCTGTGTCCAAGTATACAACTGCACAAAGAAGGGAATGTTTTCCTCCATATGAGAATATAAGAAAAATATCTGTACGCACATCATCTACGCATGATAATCCAAAAACTCAGCCATCTGAAAATGAACAAGTTCACTTTGTTCGTCCATTTTAAGTTGGCATTGTTGCCCCAACAATCCCGAAACATAGAAACATGCATAATAGCCAGAGTCACCTTTTTTTATAGCTAGTCATGTTGAATATTTTCAGTTTGGTGTAGACATCCCAAAACCTAGCCGGACGCTTTTGATTGGGGCTGGCCAGTAGACTGATCTTTTCCACTGTCCAGCCATCAGCCTGCACAAGCATCCCAAACATTTCAAACTCAAAGACCACAAAACATTTAACTCGATCTAAACTACTGCCTTGGTTAAACAAGATGACACGACAAGGGAAAACAGGGGACAGCAACGAATCCAATTAATTTCCTACCACAAATAGCGACAGAACGTAACAGCACCAACCGCAAAGCTGGAGTTACCCAGAATCTTACGTTGCCTTAATTTTCTCAGGAACCAAATTACCCAGTTTGAGTAGAATGTTTTCAATTCTAATGACACTGATCAGTCAATACTTCAATTTCCAGGATCCAAGGTGACAAGCCAACCTCGAAGTCGTCATCTTTTAAAAAGCCATTCCAACTTAGTAAATTATGCACTTAAATCAGCAAACACTCAGCAGAACATAGCACTAAGCACAAAATCAGAGTTACTTAGCTCCTTAAGCCGCCTCAATTTTCTGAGAATCGACGATAATATTATTTGGTCCCTCATATATCAATTCACTAAATAAGATATAAAAACTTGACTGCATTCTATTGACATTTTTTACCAGACAGGCAAAGTAAAAACTCGGAGTTACCTGTCCATTAAAAAGTTGAACGAGGGAAAATGGCCCTTTCTCCCGCATTCCAACATTTTCTTCAAGCATCCTTTTCCAGTCCTGCCGGTCAATCAATATGTCATCTCTAGTTTCAGAGGATTCCCTAACAAATTGATTAAAAAATTGGATTACGTTGATAGAGTGAGGCAAGGCAGCATTTGAAGGTGTATGCACTTACATGATCCCCACATAAGCAGAAACCAAATCAAGCAAACAAGACAAAAAGTTTATGGCTCCATGCTTTGTAAATTAGTTTTCATGAATAGCATTCAAACACTGAAAGAAAATCAGATAGAGCTTGACCACAATAGCTCATATGTGAAAGAACAGAGTCTAATCCACATTACAAATACCATTCCAGCCAGGATAGAACTTAAGCTCAACAGGTTGACATTGACATAAATGAAGATGATAGGAAAGAGACGAAGGAGATGACCATCCATCTGTGGAAAGGGCTGCAAGAAACAAGGGACTCCAAAGACAAATGGAAAAAGGGTACTAAAAAATCAAGAGAAGAATTGGCTAAGAAAGGTATTATGATGATAAGAGAGGACACAGACTTTTCCTCAAGTATTATAAGGAAGAAGCTAAATGAGATACAGTGGTATGATAAGCTCCTAAGAATAGACTTGTAACTATATAAGTGACATTCTATCACTCAGTCCACATAATATTAAAGCTATTAAAGTAAGCTGGACACCTCCAAATCCACCTTTCCAGTCAAGTTTTCAAACTCCAGCAACTCGTCGACAATCTTTTCGAGAACTCAACGATTTTTCTGTAACATTTCCTTTGCTTTGTAATAAGCCAAATCATACATCTGCAAAACAAGGATCCATCAAAGAAGGAACATCAAAGAATCTAGCAATCAACCAGATATTTGCTGCTCTTTCAATTCACACTATCGGATATAGTAAGCCAAATAAAGCCTCATAGCAACTGTAACATCCTGAATTTTGACCCGTTACCGGGACCAATGAAGTGTATGTTAATGCTCGTTTGATTTTAGTAAGTCGCGCTCTAAACACAATTTTGGACTTCGGGTATCGACGGGCGATTTTGGGCAAAATCAGTATGGAATTAGGTGCGGAATTACGTGAATGGGGAGTGGAAATTTTATGGCGGGCCTTAGGAATTAAATTGGGTAATATTTATTGAAAATTCGGATTAATAGGGGCTGCGAATTACTGTTCAGATGCTGCGAATCACTGTTCACAAGCTGTGAATTACTGTTCACGGGGCTGTGATGACTGGTTCGAGACGCAAGTTGGGTTTTTGGAACCAGTATTTTATGGCGAGAAAGTTCCGTGAAGGATCGGCATTAATCCGATGCCGTTTGGTGGGAGAAAAATGAGAATTTACGGTTTTGCCCCTCCAAACTTTTGGACTGATTTTCGAGGGCTTAAAGGATGAATTTTAAGGATCCGACACCATATTATGTCTACCGTGAATATATAGGACCGGTATGGACAAAAATTGGAATTTCAGTCCGAGATTGGAAAATTACGAAAATGCCCCTAAGCCATTTTTGGACAATTCCGAATTTGGTTAAATTTTGGGGGTTTAACCAAGCTGAGTTTGGCTTAATCTAGGTCTGGTCAGCCTTGGGTTAGTGACAAATGACCATTTTACCTCTAAATTATTGGGTTAGAACAAATCCTAGCCTTTGGATCAAGGGCAAAATTGTCCAATGGCCCAAGATTTTGACACATGGACTCCACTAACACCATGTTGACCCTTATTTGACCAGATTATTCTCTCTCTTCCCAGACCATTCGGCCATTTTCCCCAAAATTTCTCTCCTTTCCCGTTTTCAATTCTGCCGTGGACAACTCTGCTCATCCAGTGCATTTCACGCCGAACGATCCACCGCCGGAGGCGCTGGCCGCCCGTCCCGGTCACCCAAGCCGATCATCACCCTTACCCTTCACTCTCTCTCTCCCGTTCCTCTCTTTCTCTGCCCTGTTTGGTCGCCGGTGCTGCCAAGAACCGGACCATCACCGCCGGACGCCGGGAGGCCTCGCCGGACGCCGCCGTGTCGTACCCCGAGCACCACCA